GAGATTTAAAAGCTCGTGTGTGTGTGTGAATTCTCGTAAGAGCTGCCTCCTGGAGTTATCACTGCAACAACATTATTTGCTATATTCCTCCATTGTAGGTGCCTTAATTTGAAATCCCCAAGGAGCAAGATGTTTGGGGCAGGAGCTGGCAGATTTTCCAGACAGTGCTCAATTTTTAACAGCTGTTCCTGGAATTGCTGGAATGTTGAATCCGGAGGCTTGTAGACTACCACAATGACTAAGTTTTGGTTCTCGATCTTTACTGCTAAAACTTCCACTACATCATTTGAGGCATTAAGCAGTTCTGTGCAAACAAGTGACTCTGCGATATACAGGACAGATCGTGTATCACTCCTCGGGTTGTTCACTGACACTGTCAACTTCCGATGACTCTGGCAGTGGCTTTGATTGGCCACTAACTACTAAAGATTCACGAGCGAAAACAAGCTGTTGTTCTCCCGGTGTGTGTGTGTACTCACCTAGTTATACTCGCCTAGTTGAGGTTGCAGGGGTAGAGTCCAAGCTCCTGGCCCCGCCTCTTCACTGGTCGCTACGTGTGTGTGTTTGTGTGTGTGTGTATAAGCAAATATTGCAAACCAAACAATACAGGATGCAAAACAACCACGGGGGGAGCAGGATGATAGCTCTAGGCCTTTCATGTTGCAATCAACACATTATCAAGAGCTTACAAAATTGCAGAAAAACAGAAGATTGTCCACGTAAGTTTCCAGAGGACTGCCTTTACTGGAGTGAGCGAGTAAGGGAGAGAGAAGGGCACAGGAAGTGCCCCCAGGCATAAACAGTGCTCACAGCCAGAAGGATGAATGTTATAGCAGAAAAATCCTACAAGCATTGATATTGTAATAGCCTAAACAAAATTATTGTATGAACCCGTGGGGTGATGGTCACTTGCTGGTAAACAATGGCACACTGAGTGTGAATGGTGCAGGAGACTGGCTTTGTGTGTGTGCTGACGGCGGACGTGTACCAGATGGTTGCAGAATCACGAGGCCAATCACGAACCGCAAGGCTATATTTTGGCGAAAAAAAGTTGCCGAAAGTCGAATTTCACGAATGTCACAGCCGCCGAATGGCAGGGATTCACTGTATATGCGTGAGCATATATGATAGGAGTGAATGGAGACAAATGGTTTTTAATACTTGACGTGCTGTTGGAGTGTGAGCAAAGTAACATTTATGAAGGGATTCAGGGAAACTGGCAGGCTGGACTTCAGTCCTGGAGATGGGAAGTACAGTGTCTACACTCTGAAGGAGGGGTGTTAATGTTGCAGTTTTATAACTGTAGTGTAAAGCACCCTTCTGGCAAGACAGTGATGGAGTGAATGATGAAAGTTTTTTTTGGTGGGGGAGGTCACCCTGCCTTGGTGGGAATCGGCCGATGTGTTAATAATAATAGCTCTAGGCCTTTTATGTTGCAATCAACACATCAGGAGCTTGCAATGTTGCAGAAATGAGTAAGAGATCTCAGCAGATTTGTACAGATGGACACTAGCAAGTATACTCGCCTAACTCTCGTTGCAGAGGTCGATTCATAGCTGTGTGTGTGTGTGTACTCAGTTGTACTCACCTAGTTGAAATTGCAGGGGTCGATTCACAGCTCCTGGCACTGCCTTTTCACTGGTTGCTACTAAGTCACTCTTCCTGCTCCATGAGCTTTATCATACCTCTTCTTAAAGCTATGTATGGATCCTGCCTCCACTGCATCACTTCCCAGACTATTCCACTTCCTGACAACTCTGAAGAAATACTTTCTAACATCCCTGTTTTTCATCTGAGTCTTCAACTTCCAATTATGATCCTGTGTTGCTGTGTCCCATCTCTGGAGCATCCTGTGTGTGTGTTTGAAAAAAAAACAGAGAATGAAGAGCAATATCTGAGCACTATCATGTGTTCACTTCCATGTATTCCTCTGAAGATGTGTGTGTAAGCACAAGAAAGTGTTTAGATATTCCTATTATTTTTCCACTATAGTATTTTTCGCGTTTTCAGTTACATGTTTTACTGTAATTTCTTCCATATTTCAGTATATACACACTGAATTTACTTTAATGCCTATACACGGTATTAAAGTATTCTTGACTCGTGGTAAACGGGTGACAAGCAGTCGTAATGACCCTTGTGTAGTAGATAGGTTTTAAACCCAGAATCACTGAGTATAATGGCAATAACCTACCAACAAGATATTACCAACAACTGTTTGCTGCAGCAGGTAATATTCTAACAGACACAGCAGTATAAACAACTCAATGATACATATTGCACTGGTCGCCGTTGGCCAGCGGTGAGAGTAGCCACTCTCATTGCTGAGGTCCAGGTAACAAACCCTGGAGATTAACATAACATATAAACTTAGACTGCTTTAAAAACACAGGTGAGTAAACACTAGGACACGTTAGAAAAAAATTCGGTCCTGGGACCTCGATCACTTCTAACATACAGAGATTAAAAAGGCAGTATATATAGGTGGAGAGCGAGGTGTGAGTGACACATAGTGACCAACTTGTCGGTATCTATTACCAAGGTTTAAACCCACACTCAGGTCCTCTTCAGCAGACCAGTCTCTACTGAAGAGGGCCTCATTGTGATGCCGAAATACTGAGAAATATTAACAAGTTTTGTGAAAAATTAATATTAAAATCACCATTTCTGGAATTTTTGATAAACACTACAGTACAGTACGGTACAATACACTTCACTACAGTACACAACAGTAGTAGTAGTGTTGGAACTTATTCGGTCCGAGAAATCCCAATGGGAAAAAACACACCGTTTGAGGGCCCTTACACCCACCCAAAACACAAACACACTCACCCAGGTTGGCGAAGGTGGTTGGAAGGTACTTCTTAATTGATAGATTTATCCTTCAGGGAAGAATTAGGTAGTTTATACTGTTAGTACACTAATATTAGGATTATTGAGGCAACTGTAGATAATAATAATGTAGACCTAAGACCTTAACATAGGTAGTAATAGGCTGAATGTAGGCAAACACTAGGATAAGTTAGCTAGGGAGAACTGGCAGCCCAAGTTTGAATGACGAGGCGCGGGTCTCGAAGACGCCAGAGCTTTCCTTCTAAGACTAGACACCAACTGAACAACACATTCCATGATCAGCAGGTGGCACCCCCACGTGTCTTCACATATGAGACCTGGAGAAATCTGGTGGAGGCACCTCGACATACCGTAGATGTCCTCCTCCGTCAGGCCCATACAGTAAGACAAGACCTCCACTTTTTCTTAGGATCCTGGCCAGTGTCTGGGGAAAGTTGTGAGTGAGTTGAGCTGTAGGCCTTTGTGCAGCTGGCAGTTCATGACCAGTACGTACTTTTGTCTCTTGTCAACCTAGAAGCTAGTCCGTTCCTGCATAGTTATACTAGGGGATACACACCCCCTTTGAAATAGGAATTTCTGAGGTGCAGGCAGGTCACTAATAATGATTGAATACTGCAGGAATTAAGGCTCCCAGTTGCACATGGTTTCTGAGGGGAAGTCCAAAGGGGCTAAGCTTCAGGAGGTTGAAGACTAGAATAGACTCTACATCACCAAGTAAGTTAGTCCTTTAAACGTGCATGCAGGTGAGATTTCTTACATCAGTCATTTATGAAAATCTGTCCTATAAGCCACTTGTGAGGCTGAGGTACCCACCTCAGAGCTCGGTGTCAACAGAGCTTGCCAGGGTAGGCAACTCACTTGGAGGCAGTCCAGACAAATTTTCATAGTAGGGTTCTTAACTGCAATACTACTTGTGAAAATTTGTCTGGACTGCCTCCAAGTGAGTCGCCTACCCTGGCAAGCTCTGTTGACACCGAGCTCTGAGGTGGGTACCTCAGCCTCACAAGTGGCTTATAGGACAGATTTTCATAAATGACTGATGTTGCAAGAAACCTTGGCTGCATGCACGTTTAAAGGACTAACTTGGTGTTGCAGCATATATCCTGATCTTCAACCTCCCTAAGCTTAGCCCCTTTGGACTTCCCCTCAGAAACCACGTGCAACCGGGAGCCTTAATTCCTGCAATATTCAATTGTTATTAGTGACCTGCCTGCACCTCAGAAATTCCTATATCCAAGAGGGTGTGTATCCCCTAGTATAACTATGCAGACACAGACACTAGCTTCTAGGATGACAAGAGATGCTGGTACGTACTGGGCATGCACTGCCAGCTGCACAAAGGCCCACAGTTCAACTCACAATTTTCCCCAGACTTCAACTCACAATTTTCCCCAGACACTGGCCAGAAATCCAAGAAAAAGTGGAGGTCTTGTCTTACTGTATGAGCCTGACAGAGGAGGTCATCTACGGTACATCGAGGTGCCTCCACCAGATTTCCCCAGGTCTCATATGTGAAGACACGTGGGGGGCGCCGTCTGCTGATCACGGCACATGTTGTCCAGTTGGTGTCTGGTCATAGAAGAAAGCACGACGGTCTCCAAACCCCGTGCCCCAGCATTCAAACTTGGGCTGCCAGTTCTCCCTGGCTAACATAACCTAGTGTTTGCCTACATTATTGGCCTATTACTACCTATGTTAAGGTCTTAGGTCTATATTATTATTATCTACAGTTGCCTCAATAATCCTAATATTAGTGTACTAACAGTATAAACTACCTACTTCTTCCCTGAAGGGTAAATCTGTAAATTAAGAAGTACCTCCCATCCACCTACGCCAATCCGGGAAAGTGTGTTTTTGTTTTTGGGTGGACATAAGGGCCCTCGAACGGTGTGTTTTTACCCGTTGGGACTTCTTGGACCGAATAAGTTCCAACACCTACTGTGATGCATGCAGTATACTCGTAAGTAAACCAAGGATACTTTACACCACTTGCATATGACCTCTTTTAAATATAGTTTATTATTGTAAGTTGGAGAGAGCATAGCCAGGGTGAGAGAGGCTACATAGTTGTCCCCACCTACAGTAGTTATGTGACACACCACTGTTGTTCTGAAGGCTTCACCAATTCTATAGGCTCCAATACTTACCTTGGTATCACCCTTGGGGAAGACCTGACGGAGGACTTTCCTGTCCTCCTGCAGCTGATGCCACTCCCTCTCCAAGCTACTGATGGAGTCCGGGGACCCCAGAAATTCCCGCACCACGTCCTCCGTGAAGAGCTTCCTCAGGTAGCGCTCATTGGACACATCAAAGCGGTATTTGTCCTCGAAGCGCCGGTTGGAGAGCTTGATCGTGGGCAAGTTTTGAAACTCTACGAACTCGCCAGCAAGACCATCTTCGCCGTACCTCAACTGGATGACCTGACTCACACTGTTTCTGACAGTACCATCGTAGTTGACCATCACGCTTTCCATGGCCTTGATGAGTCGCCGTTGGATGTAGCCTGTCTCAGCAGTCTTTACAGCCGTATCAATTAGACCCTCACGGCCTCCCATAGCATGGAAGTAGAACTCTGAAGGAGTAAGGCCAGCTAGGTATGAGTTCTCGACGAACCCACGAGACTCTGGGCCGTAGTCGTCTTTGATGAAGTGTGGCAGTGTTCTCTTGCGAAAACCGAAGGGAATTCTCTTACCCTCAACGTTTTGCTGGCCCACACAGGCAATAACCTGGGAAATGTTGATGTTGGAGCCCTTGGAACCAGCCACCACCATGGCCTTGAGGTTGTTGTACTCCGTCAAGGACTTCTTGGCTGAGCCTCCAGTCTTGTCTCGAGCATCGTTGAGGATGCGGTTGACCTGGTTCTCGAAGGTCTGCCTGAGGGTGTTGCCTGGTGTAGGCTCCAGCTCATCATTGTGAGCCTTGTGGATTACCTCTATCACGTCCTCCTTGGCTTTCTTGATGGTGTCCTGGATGACCCTGTATGTATTGGGGTCAGAGATGGTGTCCCCGATGCCAATACTATGACCCTCCAGCAATAGCCAGTTATTGACCACTGTCTGGATGTTGCCGTAAAAGCGACCAGCGATCTCGTGACCCAACTCCATCCAAGCCAGATGTAACATTGAACCTGAAGATGCTCCCAGTGTCTTCTTGCACAGGATCCCCATGATCAGTTCTCCGTGTTCCACCAGCACCTGTAATTCTCATCATGGTTACACTCACGAAATTGTAATAACACCATTGAAAATAAATCATGGAATGGGTGGGGCTTGAACCCATGGTGAGTGAATCCTTGAAATGTACCTAGTTGGATGAATCTTTTAAGACCCAGCTGGCTTAGTGGTTAACACAGTGACCTGTAAGTTTTAAGACTCACTTGCCATTGGTTCAAATCCCACTCGTTTTGTGGTTTGATTCATCATGATTAGTTTTAAATACACAGAATGGTGGATGAGGGACCTGAATCGTGGTTCGTAAATTGAGAGTCCGATGCTCTACCATCTTTGCTAACCCAGACCTCTAATAGAAAAGTTAGCCTAGAAGTAGAAGGTCAGAGTGTCAATTAGGGACTGCGGTTCGAGCCCCTCTTTCTGTTTATTAATCCAAAACTGTTTATTACAACTTAATTTGAGTTTATGGTTAGTTTTATTTATTGAAGAGCCAAACCTGTGTGAGTAATTCAGATGAAAGAGTAGCGGAGCCTCGATCCCCCCCTTCCCTAATCGCCTATTAAATCTTACAAAAGCATTAACCATTAATCTTACAGATAATCGCTTAACATTGTTAAGGAAGAGGAATTCTTGCACTAAAAGGCCAATATAGTTACTCTATAAATGGCAAGGATATTTGATCACTAGTGAAAACTACTGCACAATGTATAAACACAAAAGAGTTTAGGTTCAACACCTTTTTTAAGAGTTATATGTAAACAAAATATTATTATTATTATTATAATCAAGGGGGAAGCGCTAAACCCGGAGGATTATACAGCGCCTGGGGGGGGGGGGGATGTGGAAGGCATTCAGGCTTAATTCGGGGAACTGGAGCACAGATCTAATTCCCTAAATCAAGAGCCCCTCACCAACATCAAGGAACCTTCCTTGAGGGGTGTAAACCAAATAAAACTCAATCTAAGAAATGTTTTCACACTCAACAATTAACACTGAGCCTCACGAAGGAGGTTCCTTGATGCTGGTGAGGGGCTCTTGATCTAATTGAACCTGTGTTCCCCTTCCTAGGAGTGTACCTGAATGCCTTCCCATTCCCACAGGAGCTGTGTCACCGCTACGAGTTCACAAATGTAATAATATTAATAATCCAACCTGCATTTACCCGAGCAAGGTTGTTTGAACATATAGTTATAAAAGCTGGGGTGCTCTAAACTGTTTGAACCTAAGCTGAAGCGTTCATAAGACAAGCAAAGTGTTCCAACGTGACTTAACCAAAGGAGAATGTTCCTGGGAGAAGGATGGTGTTGTAAGTACTAGTGTAACATTGTAAGCAAAGTGTTGTAACCACTAGTGTAGTAACGTAAGTGTTGTAGCCACTAGTATAGTAACATAAGCGTTCTAACCACTAGTGTAGTAACGTAAGTGTTGTAACCACTAGTATAGTAACATAAATGTTGTAATCACTAGTATAGTAAAATGTTGTAACCACTAGTATAGTAATGTAAGTGTTGTAATCATTAGTAAGTATAATAAGTGTTGAAATCACTAGTATAGTACCTTGGTGTCGCCTGGAGAGATCCACTTGTAGGGCCCATCATCCTCGTCATCAGGATGGGTAGCATGAGTCTTGACCAGGTTGAGGTTGCCTGGGATGATCAGAGAGAAGATCTGCTTGCCGGTCCACAATGGCCTGGGTTTGAGTATGGCCGGGTGGGGCATACGACCGTCCCAGATGGGCAGGAACATCAGTAAATTCATCATCTCAGCCTGCAGAGGTGGTACACATGATGCAAGCTAACTTTGGAGGCTGTTATATATTTCGGTCGCACACTTTGGCCCTCTTCAGCAAACTAAAATGTATATTAGTTTGTTGTTGAGTGGGGTCTGACAAAGACCCATTGTGACCTCTGTAAGCATGGTTTTTTATAATAATTATTATTATTATTTCGACAAGTATATGATACAACTTATACAGACCTAGTTGACATCAATACCCTAACATTGATGTCAGCCACCCAAACTAATCGACTAACACGCAGGTACCTACTTACTGCTAAGTGACCATGGACAGCAGGTTTACGGTGACTAACACCCAGGTACCAACTTACTGCTAGGTGAATATGGACAACAGGTGTAGGGTGACTAACACTCAGGTACCTACTTACTGCTAGTTGAACATGGACAGCAGTTATCTTAAGGAAACACACCCTAATGTTTCCACCTGTACCGGGGATCGAACCCACGGACCTCAATGTGTGAGCTGAGTGAGCTACCAACCCAGTTACCATTCACAGGATGGGTTACGAGTGCACGAAAAACTAACATCTCAGGCTGCACAATTAACTTAGATTTAATATCTGGTAAATGGTAGTTGTTGGAGCAGCAGCAGCAGCAGCAGCAGCAGCAGTAGTAGTAGTAGTAGTAGTAGTAGTAGTAGTAGTATTAGTAGTAGTAGTAGTAGTAGTAGTAGTAGTAGCAGTCTTATTAACTTGTGGCTATGAAGCAACACTTGTGATATCTGCAGGAGCAGTTGGAGGGACTGAGAGATCACTTTGAAGGAGTGTAAGAAAAAATGATGAAAGTGAAGGCAGGGAAGATACGAGGCTGAAAGATCAGCTTATAAGACTGTAAAACAAATGAAAGTGAATGCAGGAAGTTACAAGACTGAATGATCAGCCTGGGAGAATGTAAAAGAAGAGAGGTGAATGCAAGAAGGTTTGCAGGACAGAAAGATGCATCTTGAACTAGAAGAGTGTCAAAGGAAGCTAAAAATGAATACTAGAGATAGAGAGAGAGAGAGAGAGAGAGAGAGAGAACTCAAACCTTATCAAGGAAGACATCCCTCTTAGTCATCTTCCTGACAGCAGTGAGTGTGTCCTGGACAATACCCATGACTGGTCTGTTGGACTGCGGTGTGACCACCATCCTTGGAGTCAGGTGGAGGTTCTCGATCTCAGCTCGCGTCTCCATGCTCTGGGGCACGTGAAGGTTCATCTCATCCCCGTCAAAGTCAGCGTTATAGGGGGAAGTTACCGAGAGATTCATGCGGAAGGTTGACCAGGGCAGCACCTACAACAGACGACAGGTACAGTTATATTCCAGTTCTTTATTAGTAATAATAATAACAACAATCATTGATCCATCTGGAGGCCTGGTCGTGGACCGGGCCGCGGGGGCGTTGATCCCCGGAATACCCTCCAGGTACAACTTATACAGAAAGCCTCTGGTTATGCAGAGCATTTCCAACAAATTAGGATAATTTTGTTCCCCGTACCTGACTAGCCGGGTTGTGGTTCGTACGTCAATTTGCGTGCGGCCAGCAGTAACACCCTAGTTGATCAGACCCTGATCTACCATGAGGCTTGGTCTCAGACCGAGCCGAGGAGACGTTGACCCCCGAAACCCTCTCAAGGTAAACTCCAGGATGCGATCCACATTAGTCGACTAACACTCAGATACCTAATTTACTGCTAGGTGAAGAGGAACAGCAGGTGTCTTAAGGAAACATGCCCTAATGTATCGTGCGGGGATCGACCCCCTGGACCTCAGTTTGTGAGCTGAGTGCGCTACCAATCGAGCTACGGGTATTCAGTACCGACAAGATGATGAATTAGACACACGTGCAACATCTGAGTATCTTGTGAATATCGTAGTCTTCAAGACTATACCTACCTCACTTGCTTCTAGGTTGAGGGACTGATTACCTTATCTTCCACTGTCTCCTGTCTTCATATTATGTCCATTTACTGCACTGATAAAGCCACTCGATGGCGAAACATCTAGAACTGGAGATGCCCAGATCTTGCACATGTATATAATTTATCAACTTACAGTTGATAAGAAGACTTCAAGGGTTTACCTTTGTACCTTGTTCAGCCATCAAAACTTTGGAGTCCAGTCCCTGGATCCATTATAAACCTCTGTGATCCTTTGACTACCACCCACAGGATGGGTATTGGGTGCATAATAAAGATATTAAACTTAAAACTGTAAAAAGGGTCGTTGAACGTCAAACTGTCCTTATACTCGCATATAATCTAGTGATACCAGTGAATAGCAGAATACAGTGTTGTAGTAGCAACTAACCAGTATTATAATGGTACTTAGTGGAGTGGAGTGACTTTCATTAGTTTCTTTTTTCTTGAAATACCAGATGTATACTGTGAATTTCATGTAACCTGTAGTTACCAGCGGTCGCAATATACACAACGAGAAGCAATTATTACTACAGAAAAAGCGTCCTTCCTCCAAAATTTCCACCAGTCAACTATGGTGGAGACGAAAAAAAAAAAAAAAAAAAAATAGAAAAGCTAGATACAGCGATTGATAAACAAGGGTTGAGGAACGACCGTTCGTCACTGTAGGAGCTGCCAGAAATCACCGATTCTTCAACACGCAAGTTATACTTTTGTATCAATCAAATCACATATTACTCGGGTAGATAATTTCAAGTAGATCCTTCATGTGTGTTACAAAAAACGCGATTCTAAAAGCTAAGAGATCTTTAAGCTTTTAGAATCGCGTTTTTTGTAACAAATGGGGGCCTGTCCGGGAGGCTCTTGATCCAAGGTGTTGGAGAAATTGTCCAGTTTGACATACTAGTAAATCTATGATCAAACACTTTGAGTACTTTCCTAATCTGAAGACTTTGAGCTATAGCTAAGGACCCGAGATGTTCAGAGTGTCTTAGCGACACATAACCTCAGTACAACGTCGAAAATCACTTAGTCTATTCAAGGTTCTGTGAACAGAGTTCTACAGAACTAACAAGAATAATGAGACAGACAATCTGTCCAACCAGCAAGTGAGTCTAGAGCAGACTGAATACTTCACGAGAGGTCAGGACTCCCCCCCTCGATCACGTGATAGCCCCGTGGACAGCACAGCTCAGAAGCCGGCAGTATAACGAGCGACAAGCGATAATTACCGTAGTTTGACAATCAAGACTTGAACTGAGCACATATTATGTACATCCTAACAACATAAGTCAAATAACAATATAACACTCAAATAATAATATAAAGTCATACATTTACGATTTAGCTATTATCGCAAATATAAGCAATATAAAATTAAATGAAAAGGTAATATACATTATATATATACATAATAATCATTGTAACCCATTCAGGGGTTGCAACAATGTGTTAGCCCAAATCACCGACCAGTATGTTTTAAATAAGTGACCCACTGATCAGATCAGATCGACTGGTCCGAACCCTTGAACCCTTGACTGGTCCGAACCCTTGACTGGTTTCAAATGGATTCGTTGGACAATAAAGCAGACTGGAAACGGATGGGGTTGTAGGCGCCCTGATAAACACAAACAATAAATATAAATCAGGAACGTGCACGGTAAGCTGTCCAATATACAAGTACAGTTAGAAATAGAAATACAAATAGCTAGAGCTTCATTTAAGGAGGTTATTAATAGAATATTCAAGAGGTTGCTAGTGGAATTACAGTAAATCAACCATTCAAATCATTATGAAGCTCTGTGTAATCTGCGGTCAATCAAACAAACGGGCTTCCACATGGATAAATTGTCATTTTTTGTGGAAATTGGTGTCACGCCCCTTGTGCAGATATCCAAGAACTAGCTACAAGCAGTATTAAAACAGGGAAGTGTTTTTGGGTATGCCCAAATGAGATAAATCTGTGGACTAAAATCACAAGGGTATTAAAAGAGGACAACATCAAAGCTGCTTTCATAGACAACTTGGAAGCTTTCTACAACAGATGGGAACATAAAAAGTCTGGGCTGAATGGTACTGCCCTTGATACTGGCCATGTAGTCAGAAACTGTAAGGCTGGAGGTGAAGTCCTGGTAGTCAGTAAATGTGGGGCTGACAGTGCTGTCCTGGGAGACAGTAATGGTGAAGCTGGAGGTGCTGTCCTGGGAGACAGTAATGGTGAAGCTGGAGATGCTGTCCTGGGAGACAGTAATGGTGAAGCTGGAGGTGCTGTCCTGGGAGACAGTAATGGTGAAGCTGGAGATTTTGTCCAGGTAGTCGGGAATTATACGCAGGAAGGAATACATATAAATGACCTCATAGGGGACAGGAGCCGTAGTAGGGAAACAAGTGTAGTCAAAGATAAGATAAAACCAATATTGCAAACTAGAAATACCGCACGAAATAGCAAACAAGAGGACTCCACTAGCAATAGTGAGGATATATTACCAAAAACAACTGGTGGGAGCTCCATTGTTGGTGCTAGAGAGGATAGGAGTAAGACAGGGAAACATGCACCAACAGGAAATACAGTCACAGAAACCCAAGGCAAACGGAAACCAAGCCTTTGCACATACTATGCACTTGGTATCTGCAGGCATGGGAAATCTGGAAAAACAGACGGGACATGCAACTATGACCACCCTAGAAAATGCCATGCCCATATGACAACAGGAAAATGCAAACTCCCTTCCTGTAAGCTTTTTCACCCTGAACTGTGTACTCTTCAGTACAGGAAAGGACTGTGCTTAACTTAAATTGCCAGGCACACCATCTAAAGGGGACAAAAAGATACAAAACATCCAGGCCATGGGAAAACCTGGGTAGTCACAGCCACTCAAGAGGGAGAGGTTTTTTAGTGCCAGGAAGGAAAAAAACCTGGCAGGAAATGGCAGAAATCGTACACCAAATCCAGTCATTCCTGGAGTGGAACCACAGTCGATGGCCTCCACTCCAAACCAACAGATACAGATACTAATGCCGGAAAAAAAATCCCCCCAGTACCAACAATACCACCAGACCGATGACATTCTTCTTTGCAAATATACAGGGTCTAAAGCCAGCAACAAACAACAAAATACCTTTCATCCGTGGACTGCTTGCAGAGGCAAAGGCAATGTTCGCGGCTTTCACTGAGACCCACATAAGGTATCACTTGGACAACGAAATATGGATCCCAGGTTACAACCTATACAGATGTGACAGAGTGAACAGGCAAAGGGGGGGGGGTTGGCCTGTACATTGCAGAGTCACTTGTTTGCACAGAACTGCTTAATGTCTCAAATGATGTAGTGGAAGTTTTAGCAGTAAAGGTCGAGAACCAAAACCTAGTCATTGTGGTAGTCTACAAGCCTCCGGATGCAACATCCCAGCAATTCCAGGAAGAGCTGTTAAAAATTGACCACTGTCTGGAAAATCTTCCAGCTCCTGCACCCAACATCTTGCTACTGGGGGATTTCAACTTAAGGCACCTAAAATGGAGGAATATAGCAAATAATATTGTTGCAGTAATAACACCAGGAGGCAGCTCTCATGAAAACTCGCACTCACACGAGCTTTTAAATCTCTGCACAAAATTCAATTTAAACCAGCAAATAATAGAGCCTACTAGACTGGAGAATACACTAGACCTCATCTTCACTAACAATGATGATCTGATAAGAAATGTCACCATATCAAAAAAATATACTCAGATCACAACATAATTGAGGTTCAGACATGTATGCGTGGAGCCCCAGACCGACATAATGAGACTAGTCACGAGGGAGCATTCACCAAATTCAACTTCAATAACAAAAACATAAAGTGGGACCAAGTAAACCAAGTCCTAACCGATATAAGCTGGTAAGATATACTAAGCAACACAGACCCCAACTTATGCCTAGAACAGATTAACTTGGTGGCACTCGATGTATGCACAAGGCTTATTCCTCTAAGAAAAAGGAGAAGTAGATGTAAAATAGAAAGAGACAGGCGCTCCCTTTACAGGAGACGGAAAAGAATAACAGAGCGGTTAAAAGAGGTCAATATATCAGAAATGCGTAGGGAGACACTGGTCAGAGAAATAGCAAGCATCGAACATAAGCTAAAGGAATCTTATAGGAGTCAGGAATCGCGGGAAGAACTAAAAGCCATAAATGAAATCGAAAGAAACCCAAAGTATTTCTTCTCCTATACCAAATCAAAGTCGAGAACAACGTCCAGTATTGGGCCCCTACTTAAACAAGATGGGTCCTACACAGATGACAGCAAGGAAATGAGTGAGCTACTCAAGTCCCAATATGACTCAGTTTTTAGCAAGCCGCTAACCAGACTGAGAGTCGAAGATCAAAATTA